CTGCATCGCTATAGTTTGGGTCATTATAGAATAAAAGTTGATACAGCCCAGGTGTGCCACGAAGCCATGTACCTGCTAAGTTGCCCTCAGGTAATGTCTGTATTTGGCCAGTCGCTCTATCAAATTTAATTCTGCGTTTACCTAACATCCAACCAATGTTGTCGGTATATATAGGTCCATAAGTTTTGTGTCCAAAAATCTTGTAGATAATTATGGCTTATTGGGGGATATTGATCTAAGTATTCCTCTATTGCTTCTTGTGAAATATCAGGACGCATTTCTTCAGGTGTTTCTGGTCTCGGTATATTACCTTGTTCATCAGTTGAAGCCACGTCTCCTAAATTGAGATAGTTGGCTTCTGTGAATACATCATCATTATCATCATCATCCTGTTTCAATTTTTCCTCATTTTTAATAATAAATGGAGGATGCTGAGTCTTAGCTATTTGCTTAAGAATTTCAGATATTGGTTTGAAAAGTTTTGTAATAGATTCATCTTCTGCAGTTCTACCTAACTTTAAAGTAAGATACTTTTTACGTATAGCTCGAGCAAGTTCTGCGATCTTTCTCTTATGACTAGCAACGGCAACTTGGTCCTTTGACATCATGTTACTGAATGATGGCGTACATGATAAGCCTACAATTTTATGTACTTATCAAATCCTACTCTGTATCGACCATAATTAAGAGGAAAGTCTTTAACAATAACTAACGTACCGTACTTTTCTGCCCAACATTCCGAACACATCTTTTTGAATTCATCAAAAGTAACATCTGGAGATACATGCTCATCAAATATACAGGGCGTCCGCAAAGTTGAGGTTTTCCTTTTCAGAAACAACTACCCTTGAAATAACAAAGGTAATGTGTAGTGAAACGAGGGCGACCAAGTGAAAAAAAATAAAGGAAAAAGTACGCACTCTCCAGTTGACGAGAAGGACTAAGTGCGTCTCTGCCCGAAATCATACCGCTCCAACAGAAAATGAAATCAGCTGATGCGCTTCCGAGCAGACGCCGGCGGTGGTGCAGACCACGAACAGAGGTAACAAATATGACCATCGTGCAGAAACCACATTGATTGTCTTACACTTAATGGCACATCTTCTAACAAGGAAGGCAAAATGTTGCGTAAAAAGTCAAGGTATTGCATCCCGTCCAATCGATTTGGGAGAATAAATGGTCAAATGAGCATACCGTTCACCATGCCAGCCCAAAATGTTTGTTGAAAATGTGCCCGACGGACAGCGTGCGGATTTTCTACTGACCAAACATGAGTGTCGCGAAAGTTATTCACCCCATTACGCGTGAACGTAGATTCGTCTGTCACCAATATGCACTTCAAGAAGTCCGGATTATTGTCATGTTGATGCAACAACCACTCACAAAACCGCACTCTTGCTGGAAAATCGTCAGGTTGAAGGGCTTGTACACGTTGGACGTGAAACGGATACAGCCCCTCTTCACGCAGCGTTTGCCACACTTTAGTTTTTGATACTTGCACTTCTCTAGCCACGTCTCTAGTGCTTGTTTTTTGAAACGCAATCGATTATACGGTTTCGTTTACCTCTACACGCGTGACCGTAACCGTCGGTTGAAGGTTGCATACTGACCTGACACACTTACCCCGACCCAGTTCTGTCGTCGGGTTTAGCTAGTGTCCTAGTACCAGTCGGGGCTGTCGCGAGTCGCGGCTACAGGACGGTATTCAGATATTTTTGATGTTGCAGAGCCCTTTATCTCGGTTCCCTTAAGACATTGGTGTATATGGTACTAAGAAAAATTGCTTATGTTTTCAAGATCTACACGTCGTGTAAAGGAAAACCCCAACTTTGCGGACACCCTGTATGTTTTAGATTAATTTCATCCTGCTTAAATAATACTATAATGTTACAGTTGTCTCGTATGAGCTGTTTTGGAATTTTAGAGTATGTTTGGCAGAGATATGCAGCATCGATATCTTTATGACGACACATGGAGTAATACTCTCGAATTTTCTGCTGACCGTCACACGACACGTCGTCAGATATGAATATAGAGCTATTTTTAGCCTTACTTGGACTAATAATTTCCTTGTTATCCTTAAGTGGGAAATAGATAGCGCCCTGAGCAGCGGAAATCACTTCTTGAAGCAGTTGATACTTTGGTTGATACAAAGATTTTGAATAAACATAAACATTTTTAAACTTAGCACCGTTTGGATGGAAAAGCAGCGCCAGCATTACGTTCGTTTTTCCACATGCGCTTGGTCCGCAGATGATGGCGCGAAACGAATTCGGTAACAATTTACCATGTTTACTATGTTGAGTTTTTGCTGTAAAATCCAAGATATCAATGGGTAATGACTGCTCTTGTTGAACAACCTTCATCGTGTGGCGTTCGAATAAGGAATGTGAAAGTATATATGTAGATATTGCTAACGCATCATCAACAGTTCTCATATTAACGTACAGGGGTGAAGGTGTTGTAAACTCTCTGATAAATAATCTTCCGATAGAACTCCACGTACCTGCGTATCAGTTCCTGAGACGTAAGTGTGCGACAGATTAGGATATTTTTCATTCTCACACACATGTATATGTATATTTTCAGCGGGGACTAAATTAAAGAAGAGGCTAGCACAAGGAAATCTTGGAAAGAACCCATTGGATCGTGTTGCAAGAGATCACGCTATTGCATACACCTTATACAAAAATTTTAAAGACAGACACAAAGCTGATTGGATTCTTGAGAACCGAGCCTGGGAACGTGTAAAAGCACCTGACGCTTCACTAGGAGAAAATACTGCAGCTTGGCTAACAACCACCGCAATGAAAGTTAAGCGAAAATTGGGTATGGGGCAGAAGAAATAATCTTTTCGACGAGGTGTTCTCACCAAAATCAAAAAGTCCTCGAAGAAAAATGCTGCCACTACTGCACTGGTTGCTCTTGAAGCGGTAAGATTAGCGGTGAAGAGTGCAGGTGGAAAACATAGTTCAACTACCGAGAATAATTCCGATCGAAGAAAAATCTGGGGGATTCCTACCCTTGATCCCCCTTTTTGCCAGATTAAGTGCCTTGGGGGCGTTCGCAGGGGGAGCTGCAGGTGTGGCCAAAACGGTCGTTGATCCCAAGAATGCACAAAAGAAATTGGAGGAAGACCATAGCCATAACAAAGCTATGGAGTCTTTGGGCAAAGGATTGTATTTGAGAAAAGATGCTAAAGGTCGTTATGGGTTGTACCTCAAAAAGTCAAGAAACTAAACATCAAGCTACCCAAGAAAGCGCTTTATGATTATGAAATAAAGCAATATGCGAAGCTGTTGAACATACCTCATTTCCGAGGTGTCTTCATGCGTGACACTTTACCACGAGACGGTCCACGTAAAAGAGAATGCGCCGTCGTGAACTTAGATGTTTCACAAAACAACGGAACTCATTGGGTAGCTTATAAAAAGATAAACAACAACGTTGAGTATTTCGATTCATTTGGTAACCTGAAGCCTACGCAGGAACTTGTTCGATATCTGAAGAACGCTAAAATTTTTTACAACAACGATCCTTACCAAACTTATAATCAAGTTAATTGCGGACGATTTTGTTTGAAATTTCTATACAACAAGAACAACAACACCAACGATGGATAATAAAACATTATCGGAATTTACATTAGAAGAGTTTGAGAAGAATATTCCGCCGCTGGAATATTTAACCCTTAATTACTCGCATGGGGTCAAAGCAGTTTCGCATTCAAAAACGAAGGATTTCCCGCGGACCGAATTTCCCCCGCGCCCCCACTAGCGTTTTAGTAGCGACGATGTCACAGGAGTCTAAGGACACGTCGTTGCGCTTTTGAGCAGTGACCCCGTGCGACTAATTACGTTACTTTTTTTAAAAAGGTAAGTTGCTTATTTTATGTATTTTTTGTGTTTTATTGATCCGATTTGTATTATTGAATGTCCAGTTTATAAATTTATTTAATAAATATGTTTTGTGTAGTTTTATGAAATGAAAGTACCGAAAAATTATGTTTTACTATGAGTTTTGTATCTGTTTCCAGAATTCGTCATGGATAGAAGAGAACAAATTGAGAACTGGTTGGTTGAGGCTTCTGATGAAGAACAAGTTGGAGCGTCAAATTCTGAGTCGGAGTTAGACGAGATAACACAAAGCGATATAATAGTGCTAGTGAAATCGACGAATTGTCCGCACACTCCAGGGAGTCTTCAGACAACGAGGACGACGGCTGTGCAGGGCAGTATGATAAATTCTATTTTACCAGACATAATGGCAGAAGCGGCCCTAAACAAAAAATAGTCAAAGTCTCTACCAACAAGCTCCGCAAAAACACGAAGACATAATATAACTTTACACTTACCCGGTGTCAAGTCATCAGCGAAATCCGCAAAGACTGCTTTGGAATGTTTTAGTTTGTTTTTTTCTGATGACATTATCAATTTGCTGGTAAAATGTACAAATCAGTACATCGAAGTCGTCAGAGGCAAGTTTCAAAGGGAATGTGACGCAAAAGATACAGACGCTGAAGAAATAAAAGCATTGCTGGGTTTGTTGATCATGTCTGGAGTGTTGAGAGCTTCACATCTCAATTTCATAGATCTTTGGGCCACCGACAGAACCGGTGTAGAGATGTTTCGTTGGAACACTGAAGAAAAACAAACCCGATATACCTGAGGAGATTTTACCAGACAGAAGTCAATTCAGCTATCTGTTCGGATTTCAAAAGACTCTAACCATGGTTTCAAATGTGCCAAAACCAAATCAAGCTGTTGTGTTGTTATCCTCCATGCAAAATGGAGCTCACATCGGCCCAGGTTCAGGTGATCAGCAGAAGCCTGAAATAATTATGTATTACAACAGCACTAAAGGAGGAGTGGACACCAATGATCATTTGTGTGGTACATACAGCGCAGGAAGGCGAACCAAACGATGGCCGATAGCTATTTTCTTCCATCTTATAAACGTTGCATGCATAAATGCTCTCGTTGTACATCTGGCAAATACCACTAAATCACGTACTCACAAGTGGCGTAATTTTTTGCAGCAATTGTCCGTTGAACTTGTCCATAATCACCAGAAACGTCGGCTTGATGTCCATTCAACTCCTAAAGTAATAAAGAAACGACTTATAGAAGTTCATGACTTGGACAACCGCGCCCCACCAACCACTGCAAAACGTGGGCGTTGCAACAACTGCCCGCGGAAAAGTGATCGAAAAGTATTGACTAAATGCAAAAAGTGCAAAAAATTTGTGTGCAATGATCACTCAGGCATATACTGTCAACAGTGCAAGAAAAGTGATTCGGATAGTTCCTAACATAATCATAAAAATTTGCCTTGATCTCTTGATATAAGTACAAATTGTTAATTTTCAACTATTATTTTATATAAGCTCAATTTTTTTCATTAGATAGTAATTCATGTTATTTCTTTTAAATATCATAATATAAATAAAGCACTTTAATAATAAAATAGTTTGATTTCATTTCATATTTAATATATATTAAAAAAATATCCTACAACTTGGGGTCACCTGTGACCCCATGCGAGCAGTTATGTAATGTTCTTCATGCGAGTAATTAAGGGTTAATAAGCGATGTGAGACCTGCAGAACTGTTGAGTATATGGCACAAACTGCCTGCAGAATACACATCCAATTTTGATCTTCAAATACGACTTCCATGCTATGTTCACTACAACAGACCTGATTGGGAAACACATTGGGATGGACCGGCTACTGCTCAAGCAAATTGTTATTTCTGTAAATTATCCATTCGAAAATAAAAAAAACTTGAATAAATGTTAGTACACAGCTATATTTTTTCATTCATCATGTGTTGAGAGCCAATAGCATATATTTTCATTTCGTCCTTCAACACCGATAGCGTTGGATCCGAAAAAAGATTATGAATTGGCGCTTAGGTCTTTTACTTCATACAATTCCATACCGAATATTGAAAAAGGAGATAAATTTTATTATATCGACAGGATAGGTCAATTAAAAGTCATCGAGCATCCTACAGGCTGTTATGAAATTACCGACATAGAAACATTTATACGAACGGAAATGAATCTTGAAAATGACGTTGCTCCTCCGGATGATTATTTTTCTCTAAAACCTAACAATAATATACTGCAATGTGAAATCTTTAGCAAGTATTATAAAATAGTGTTTACAGAACCGAATAATCTTGGACATCTATTGGGATTCTCGAAAAAAGTTCTTAATCCTGATCAAAAGCATTCTTCTGTACCTGTTACCTGTAAACATAATAAAAGTATCAACCATACACTTTGATACTAACATTACGTCGGGAGCCTTTGACGGAGACACGCCTGCACACACGATCTACGAATTTGCTGTGACAGCCGATCCTGGATACGCTATAGTCGAAACACCTGTAAAATTACTATATCTACCTGTTATACCGAAACAAGAAATAACCAACATCACAGTGTTGGCTTTAGATCAAGACGGTCGTCCTGTAAACTTTCAAGTTGAAACTAGTACTCTTGTGTTGGAGTTGAGAGCGAAGAGCAGATGGGATTAGTGATTATAAGACATAGTGGGGCTTCCAAGGCAACTTCAGTATTACCCCAAGCACCTAAACGACGGCATCTATGTTACTAACTACATCAAATTAGTATCCTGTTTTTTCCGCTCACTTGGATATCATGTCAACAAGAATCATGTACAAAAAGAGAAAAACTGAGGAGGCAGCATCACATACTTATCCGATGTTTGATCTATATCGATCTCCAGCATTCCATGAATCTATTCGCAAGGCTGAGTATAGATCTTATACGCCGTTCATCAAGTCATTTAATTGTAATGATGTTATGGAATTTAGCATCAATCAAGTAGATTCGTTCTTTGCAATGAACTCTTCCCTTCTGTCTATCAAAGGGAAAGTTTAAATAACTGGAGCAGGAGATGTATCTTTAGCTCCAAACTTTGGTGCCTTCCTATTTGACTCTTGCACTTACAGCGAATCCGCTAGAGAAGTTGAAACAGTACGTGATCCTGGTATTGTAAGTACTGTCCGAGTTTACGTATGTTACAGTGGGGAAGACTCAAATCATATGGCTATAGCTGGATGGAACTATCCTTCAACACCTATAATGGCGTCAACACATAAGTCTTTTAGCTTGCTAATGCCGCTTAAACATATTTTCAACATTTTCAATGATTATCCTATGATTACGTGTGGCAGACAAACTCTCAGATTTGTGAGAGTTAGAAACGATAACGATTGTATCATTATCAAGGAAAAAACTGGAACGACGACGACAGCGAAAATAACTATTGAAAGCATGGAACTGAAAATCAAACATATTTACCCGAGTGATGATGTGAAAGGACAACTTTTGAAAGCTATTCAAACTGATAAGCCGATACTTATACCATTTAGAAAATGGGATCTGAACGAACTGCCTGCAATTACCGCAGATGCGAGAAGAGAAATATGGTCAGTTAAAACTAGCACCGCAATCGAAAGACCACGTTTCATTATAGTATGTTTCCAAACTGGTAAACGTGACGTCGCAACTTCAGACCCGAGCCTGTTTGATCACGTGAATGCTGCTAGTATTCGAGTATCTTTGAATGGTGAATACCCAACGAACGTATGCAATTGGACTTTGCAAACAATCACTTTACTGAAGCTCATTTCAACTATAGCGACTTTCAAACCAGCTATACAACTTCTTCTCTGAAGAGATGTCTTTTAGATTATACCGCTTTTAAAAATCGCGCTTTGTTTGTTATTGACTGTTCCAAACAAGAGGAAACCATGAAATCATCAACTGTTGATGTTAGATTGGATATCCAAGCCGATGCTGGCTTTCCAGCCAACACCAAGGCCTACTGCATCATTATACATGACTGCTTAATCGAGTACTTCCCCCTCACCGAAGTTATTAAAACCATCTCGTAAGCAACGAAGGACTCTCAGTTCCGCATCAGACATCATGAGGATCGCGTTTGTTGACATTCAAGGCTTTACAGTTGACGGATTATTCGTGCCTAAAGAACTATGTATCGAAATTGGTTTCAAGAGGAGTTTTTGAGTTGAGTTGTTGGAGAGAACAGTACGCCCTGAACTCTACCACATTTATTCAGCAGAACCAAAATTTACCAATATAAAAATAATATATATCTGTAAATTAACGAAACAAAAACAAGGTTTCTCTATAATATATGAGCGCCTAAGTTTAAAAACTTGTATGCGCAAAAACAGACCAAAACAGTAATTAATTGATAAATATCGTGCAATATATATTTTTTGTATAAAATCACTCAACTATACAAACAAAACATGATACACGATATACACAAAATGAAAGAAAATTTCATATTTTTGTAAGTAATAGATTTAACTTAAGATCACAGAAAAAAAGTGTCACAATAATATCAAAAAGAAAGAGATGGAACAAATAGGCAGATCAATCTACCTCAAAGCAACTTAAAATAGACGCATAAATTGTTCACGATTTTCCCAACAGAACATATTAAACGAAATATTAAATTTTTTATTATTTCCAATATTCCTGATATTAGCAGGAATCAAATTGTAAAATTTAGGTGCAAGATATGTCACAAAACGCAAATTTAAATCTCGCCTGGACTGCGGGACGTTCAGGTTATGAGTGGTGTTTGCTCGGGTCATATAATTGTGGGACACATAATTTGTATTTAATTTCTTACTTGCATGTACAAAACTACATACTGCAAGGATATATAAGATTTTAATATTGTTTATTTCTTGTGAATAAAGTTGCATAGTGGGATATAATCTAGGTTTTTTTAGAATGATCCGTACAATATGGTTCTGCACCACTTTTAGCTGCCCAAGATTTGAACCGTACATCCCACCCCACACAATTATGCCATATACCAATAGTGGCACCACAAGTGCTTTGTAAATCATTAATAGTAGTTTAATGTTCAGTATATTACGAAGAGCGTAGAATTTATGAATGAAGAATCTAATTTTTTTGCTCAAATACAGCACATGTCGGTCCCACTTCAAGTGCTTATCAACAACAACCCCCAAATATTTAATTTCATTTACTTCTTTCAAAGGCTCATCAATATTATCAAGTTTAATTTGATTAAATGCTGGTCTATCAGCCATGGTTATAGAGAAGGCAATGTAATGAGTTTTTTTATATTCAGAGTTAATTTAAATGTGTCCAGAAGGTTTTTAATTTTTGCAAAATCAGTCTTCAATTTTTCACCCGTTGATTCCCATGTCTCTCCATGAAACACCACCACAGTGTCATCAGCATAGGCAATTACATCTCCATAAACTGCAAGACTGCAGAGGTAATTTACATATATATTAAAAAGAATTGGCCCAAGTACTGTACCCTGTGGAACTCCATGCTGAACCGTCTTAGGTTCACTTAGAACGTCCGCAATCCTGACACACTGAATCCTATGCATTAAATAATCTCTAAATACACTTAACACAGCACCCCTAACTCCATGTCCCTCCAGTGCTTGGAGGAGCATAGGATGAGATACCGTGTCAAATGCCTTTGCTAAATCCAAAAACAAAGCGATGCACTTATCACCGTTATTTAAATGATACATTATTTTAGACGCTAATTCATAAACCGCATGTGATGTGCTTAAACCTTGCCTAAAACCAAACTGATTCTCAGATAACAACTTATTTGAGTCCAAGAATGCAACCAATCTAACCTTAAGGCATTTTTCAAATATCTTTGCTAAATTTGAGATTATACTTATTGGTCTATAATTACTTATATATTCTTTATCTCCTGCTTTGTGAATAGGTGATACAACCGATATTTTAAATTGTTTAGGTACTTTGCCCGTTTTGAAAATCAGATTGATTATATGAACTAAGGGATCCAAGAGATATACATGTAGTTGTTTGATTATTTTAGTCGTTAATTTATCTAATCCTGGAGAGCAACTATTTTTTAGACTCATTATATGTTCAATAATTTCATTCCTGTTGGTCGGTTTTAAATACATTGAATAGGAAGGGCTATTTATAAATTGAAAAGGTGTGGGAGGGTTCCCAATTTTATCTGACATTTCTCTGCCAATATTTATAAAAAAGTTATTTGCAAAATCAGCAATTTGCTTTTTATCAATAATCATGTCATTTTTTTCATCCTTTAGGTAAGTTATAGGACATTCTGTTTGGCTTTCATTTGTTACCTCTTTAACTAATTTATAAACTTTTTTGATATCATGCGAGCTTTGATTAAATTTACTTTTATAGTACTCATTTTTTGTAAATCTTATTATTTTATTAAGACGGTTTCTATATTCTTTGTATTCCGATATCTCTGCTGGAGACGGGTTTAGCTTAAGGGCTCTTTTCAGCTTATCTCGGTTTTTCATAGATTTAATTATTGCATTTGTAATCCACGGTTTAAGCTTTTTATAATTATTCAGGGTGTTTTTAACAAATTCTGACTTTTCTATAATATTACTTAATTTTTTAAAAAGGTAATTGGTTGCTTCCTCTGCTTGATCAAAAACCAAACTGTAGTTCCAGTCTACTTCAGATGCTAAGTGCTTCAATTTATTCATATCAATACATTTAAAGACATTTCGGCAGTTAGATTCTGTAGAGTTTACAGCGAAGTCATCTGAAACATGAAGCATGAGGGGTAGATGGTCAGTTATGTCATGTTCTATAATATAGCTATCTATTTTTCTGGAGGCTGCTTTGATTTTGTCGCGCACGAAAAGATGGTCGAGACAGGTTTCACTCACCTCCCTCGTAACCCCCTGACACAATGGAACAAACCCATGCGAGAACATTATGGAGAGATACCTGTTTACATCAACATTATCCTTACTTAGAAGATTAATATTAATATCACCCAAAAAAATATCAATGTTACTATTACTACTAACATTAGTTTCAAAAAATATATTTAAGTCATTCAAAAATTCATGTAAACTCGAAGATGGAGATCTATATAAAGCAAATATAGTATAGGTAACATTTTTTACAGACAATGCAATTTTAGTTATGGTAACTTCTGAATTCCGTAGTTTATAGTTGACAAAAATTGGATTCAAATTTAATTTTGTGTAGATAATAACCCCATCAAAAGCATTATAGTTACCACTGTTGTAATATGATACATAACCTGGTATGTCAAACTTTCGAAAAGATTCTAACTTATGACATTCAGTCAAAATCACAATATCACAGTAATCATTAATATTGTAAGTTTCCAAGAATACCAACAAATTATTAAAGTTTGTGATTAAACCTCTAATGTTTATATGTAAAATGTTAATCGTTTTCCCACTATATTTATCTTATCTATCAAAACACCCGAACTCACTCTTAAGCTAGTATTTACAGACTCTGGTAAGTCCTCAAGAAGCTCAATTGTAGGATCAGCCATAGTTGATTCTCGATCTTGCACTGTCCAGACGATATTTGTATGTAGAGCATTCCTCATCATTTGCCTTGTGGTAGATGTCATAGCCTGTTGAGTATTTTTTATTTGCACTTTCACAATTTTTGCACTTTGGTTTTTGATTCCGGCTTACACACTCTTTCGTATCATGTTCTCCAGCACAATTGCAACAGACTGGTTTGTTGGGACAGTCATTAAATTTGTGATTAAACTGCTGACACTTAAAGCACTTAAGTATACTTATATTTTCATATACTGGAAATCTCTCCCATCCCATGTAAATTTTCTTTCTTTCCATAAGTAAGTGAAACAACTTAGGGGAACACTCTGCATATTATTTTATTAGTTATTACATCTTTACACCTCCGCAACCTTTTTCTACATTAAATAATAAAGACAAGAAAACTGTCGCGTACTTGGAGAAGAATTTCCATATTCTTCCGGAGACGTTGAATATTCCAAGTTAAATGAAATAATTAAAAATAAGGTGATATATGCGGCTGACTATGTCTACGTTCGTGGTGAACAGAAAGCAAACTTTTTACTCAAGAAATGACACATTTTTGGTGTTTCTCCCATCATTATCGATGTTTGCAAGTATGATGGTACACCGTGTGCTACTGGAAACTTTGTTGCTGATTCCAATCCATGTCACACCAACGGACAATTGTACCCAGAGAAATGTTGAACGTCTACGCACTGGTTTTCAAATATCATATTACCTATGTAGTTTTTTCTATTTTCAATAAAATATTAAACGTATTATTGTAGTTTTATTAATTAAAAAACATTGTTCTCCTTTTTACATATTTATCTTAATGCAAGATGATTCGCATTTGCGATTTTACAAAATTTTTATAATGATATTAATCGTTATAAATACATTTATTACTAATATGATGCTTAACAGTATAATCGATATATCATATTGAGCGGTGCTGTCACTATTTGTAGTCTTGTACCATTCTGAATCTTCTTCGGTGTTATCTGGGAATATTAGCTTGATCTTGTAGAAGGTTCCTTTTGACTTTGGTATTTCTTTAAAAAATACTGGAAGTTGTCCATAATTCATCACTTTATGATTCATCAGTGACCATTCAGTTTGGTTGCAATCAATTTTTTCATCATTGAAACATATCGCTATCCTCTTAACATTGTTTGGAACGTTCGTATACAGAACATTATTAACAATAGCTGTGAGGATGATGACTGAAGTTCTCAGTTGGGGTGACATCAGGTATTGGGTATTGTGTGAGAGAACGTGAATTATCCCACAAACTTAGTCGATCTAACTGTCTTAACAGTTTGGATTTGTCTTCGTAAAATTCGATGCCCTTATTCAGCTCTCGAATGCGATTACAAAATTCTTCTAATTTACGTCTGTATTCGTCAGATGTCACCGTAATAATAACAGTACATCGTATGTGTTCACCCCTACCTTGCTCGTCGTCGTCGCGACCCGATATTTTTCGATGCACCCCTGTATACAGGTTCTAAATTTCTGCCCCCCGTATATCCACGCCAACACCATCCTACAGACAGGTGCGACAACAAATCGGCGCCATCTATGCGCGAGATGCTCAACCCATCAATGACGCATGACAGGTGACCAACGACGTATGACAGATAACGTGTGTAGCGCCATCTATGCGCGAGATGCCCAACCCATCAATGCTGCATGACAGGTGACCAATGACGTATGTATTCTTCGATGCACCCCTGTATACAGGTTCTAAATTTCTGCCCCCCGTAGCGAGACGCCGCACGACTCATCAGCCGCGTGACGTCACCCCGCCGGCCCGCACCGCGCGCCTTCCTCTTCGCCCGTTCGCCTTTCTCCCCGCAAACCTCTACTGAGACTCACCTCTCATAGGTCATCTACTCCTATCAACATTTATTGACCATTTGTTACCCATACTTTCCTTGACTATGTGTCTAACTGATTGTAAGTCATTTGTACTGATAAGAGCTTTATCTTTTAAATTTGAAAATATGTGTGCAAAAAAAATTACAAATATATATGTTATATATTATACAAAAATAATAAATATAACAATCAATACATAAAAAACTAGGTCTAATAATCAAATATACATAAGTATACAAAAAAAAACTAAATGTATCATATCTATCCGTGAGACCTTCGATCGTACCATGTGTCAATTAAATCCCATAATCTAATATATGGGGTGATAGCTGGGGAGCTACCTGCAAGAAGTATATTCCTAGATAAAAGAAAACTCAAATCTTGACCGTGAGACCTTCGCTACTAGCACAGGTGAAATTGCATAGACTTGTGGCAAAAATGCCAAACATTCCGTATTGAAAGTTGTCCCAAAACACTATACAGTCTCTTTATTTAAACCCTTATAATATATAGATGACAGCTTGGGGTTCCACCTGCTATATATAGGAGCAGGTGCATACACGGAAATACTAAACACTCTTTATAGATAGTTTTCTGGGAATAGTGTAATAAAAAAAGTCCCTTCTTTCACCAGCAGCTATTTCTATTTTGTCTTGTGTGGATGTTGTCGAATATTCGGACGCATATTATGAGAAGAATTCCTGAACGCACAATCGAGCTTGCCCTGTCATGCTATATATAATCACAGAGGAGCGACTTTCTATCACAGGCATTGTATTGGGCAAGCCTCACCCCATTCAGGTGGTTGGCAATTCTCAATTCGAATTTATGGCAGCTATCATTGTTAGTGTATACAATTTGTACGTTGTGTATCTTCAGCTATCGTTATCTTTAATGTGAAATTTGAAAATTTCCAGAAGGCTGCAGGCATCTGTCGGAAACTTAACATTTCTTTGATCGCCTTCACTCAGTTGATGGAAAAATTTTAAGGCATTACAATATAATGTATTCATGTATTTATCATGCGTTGATGTTCTTCAATGAAATAACAACTCAATATGTCAGGTATTTATTTAGTAAGAATGCATTGTATAATCATAGACAAGATTATATTTGAGGATAATTTCCGGAGGTAAATACCCTGCAATCTCACACAGAAATGATATCAGGTTATGATTAATCATATCACTACAAAACTGCTCAATAGTACAATCTTCTTGTAGATACTGCGCACACAACTTCTGCCCTTCCTCGTATTTCCGAATTAGTCTCCTGATCATTTCAACCTCGTTATCATCCCAACAAGTATTCATATCGTAGTTTTTTGAATGTTCGCTTCATGCATCAAATCCGTTAACTGGCACACTAATCTCATGATAGCTGTACGTAGATCCTTTGAATCAGGCCAACGCAATGGATGCATAATGCATCCACATCTTGTCAAACCAAAGGAGGTGTACTGCTTCTGGAAAGATAAATATAATGGTCATTATCAAGTGGAACATGATATTTGTCAAAACAACTTTACCTGGTACATTTTCCTAACCCAATTCCAATCTGAACCTTTATATTATTTATACCCAACATATATACTATACTACCACATATTTTTTTAAACTAATTACTACTGTCAACAAAGTCAAATATTATCAAACATTTTGAACGACTACCTGGTGTCTTTGGTGAGCCTTGGCCAATATACGCTAAAGAATATTTGTTTGAAGAATCATTTATATCTTTAATCATAATTTCGGGCATGTTTTTCAACACTCGTTTAGATAGCCAAACCCTAAACTGGTCATAATCAGAATCAAGAAGGGTTGCTACTAGCCATTGCCCAAACTGATTGAATACTTGAAATATTCTTAATAGGATAAGATTTGTTTACAGTTAATGATGATAATGCTCTAGATGGTATATTGTTAACAGATTCGCAATTTATTTTATTGTTTATTTCATGCAAGGCTGAGGTCGTGATAGACATTATTAAAAAAATAAATATAGTGTTGGATAAATAATATAAAAGGATGCTCACCAAATTATATCTGTTAGGTACTTCAAGAATATTATTTAGTCACTTATCGATGTTAAATGGCTGAATTCGAATGATCAAAGCTGTTGTTGTTTCACCATTTATAGAATAACTAGCAGAGTTAGATTACCTTACAGCACCGCTGCATACCCTAAGACATTTGAACAACCCAACCTCCAGATAAATTTCGGGTGGCCCACAAAAAAATATATAGTCAACATTTCAATTATTCTGCACCGAACAGCTGAGAGACTTTACAATCGGCATGGCCATTGTCATGACAACAATGTCTTAACAACAGCTTCCATGGACGTCTCCTTTTCTATTATAAACGTGTTTATGATCTGAGGACAGAAGCGAGAAAATGTTTTACAGTTCTTGATAAGGGGACCGAACTGCTGTGTGGTTTTACAATTAGCAGGGTCATTGAGAGCGTAACAATGCCTTCCTCGATCTATTTATACGATACAAATTTGTCGAACAACACGTTTTCGATGCTATGAGGATGGTCATTGAGAGGACACCCCCGCCCCTTACCACACCGCACCCCCATGGGTTCCGTCGTGCTATTTACCTAAGGAGAGTTAGATTACGTTACTGCACAGGTGCATACAAGAGTTCAGGTAGTCTACAAAAAATATCGCACCACACACGGTGATTGAGAGGGCAACAAACGAGACGTTGATCGTATGAGGATGGTCAATAATCAAAATATATCTTTGGGTAATTAATTTTTCTTTCTATGCCTATGTATGTATGTATGCTTTATTTTAACTTGAATATTATTAACATTCATTCTTGTGCCATACTTATAGTAGGTATATGACTTTTTTCGTTAAAGAATCCACAGTATCTTTATTTTTAATAAAATTTAAATAAAATAATGGTGGCAACACAAAAATGTTGAACTCTTGTGACGTAGGCATACTTTATTAATTAATTATAATTTGAAAGTTGCTAATAAACAAAGTATTATATACTATTATTATAATGAACACTATTTCTGGAATTTGGCTGTTTTTTCAAAATCACTGCATTTGGAACAGCTAGGCGTAGACTGTCAATAATTAAAATTATTCATAACCCAGCAATGATGGCTTGATATCAAATTGAAAAAAACATGCTTTATGGCAGTCAGATGCTTTGATCATTAAGCTGAAGAACATTCACAAAAGTTCTAGATATTATGTCTAAGGAGTATGGAAGCAATAGCATTTTCGTCAAAAAAGCTTGAAAGGATTTTTTATTTAATAAACATACACAGAACATCCTCTAGCGAGACTCTACTCCAGACATAACATAAATATGAGATCTTAAATCATTTAGATTAAATCTAGAGGGGGATACAAAGAATAAATAAAAACACAAATATACATGGACACAGATGAGTCTTTTTTCTCCAAAACTAAGCTTAAATATAATCTTTTGAGTGTTCTTGCGACGTATTCTTTTAATTTGAAAGGTAGCTTTGCTCTTCTCTTGAAACCTCTGTAACCACTAGTTATACTATAAGGCTAGTGTGTTTTTGAAAATATTCACATAAAGCATAATTAGAAAGCCATCAACCAAATTATTTCTTTGTGTATCCATGATTATACCATTCCTCTACAGGTAGGATAGCATGGCACTAAAATGAAGTAAATAACATTATTTATTTACAAAATAACAACTGATAACATTTGGAAAAACACAAAATAAGAACTAGAATATTTTACAGTTTCTCCATAATTCTTCATTTGTAGCTATTTTCAAGATTTCTGTGGACTGTTTATTTCAATAAATAATAAATAAGGAAAAATATTTCAATTTTTTACACTCTTTACAATAAAATAAATTGAACATGAACAAGACATCAACAAATCTTGACATTTCAACAATGACGACACTCAGCACTCAACCAATCACAAACGTCTTATTCACAAGTGTAGCAGGTTTAGAAATCACGCCACCCGAGTGGAAGTGCTGTTTGTAAAATTTTTCAAGTAAGTAAGAAATCCATTCGCATCTCAACTTTTGAGCATATCCATATGTTTAAACTGATACAAATATATAGTTTAGTAATAGATCACAGCATTTTGAGGTTAGGTAGAGTTTATTGCCAATTTGGTATACGGCAGGTGAAGTCAATTTGTAATATTGCGAATTATATGCACAACTGGTATACATACCTTTTTGTTTTTTATTTTGTTGTCTAATGACTCGTTTATAATTGTTTGTTTATTGTTTTATCAATATCCACTTCTACTAACAGCTATAAAAAGCGATAGAAGTGGAGTCAAGAAGATATGGCGGCTGCAGTACAAGCTGTTAGAGTAAAAACAATGGTGTATTTAAC